AAAAGCACATCACAGGCCCATTCCACATTCAAGGGGAGGGACACATGGAAGAGAATAAATACTAGGAAGCTCAACTCATGGTAATTTTTTCAGGCTGGCTACTCTAGAATAAACCTACTTTTTTAATGTTTTCTAAAAATTAATCTGTTAATGATTCAGTATTTAAATTTTGTTTTTATTTTCTAATGATATTAATTTACATCGATTTGATTGCAAACTATGACAACTAAGAGATAACAAGGGTATTTCTTTTTTTTCACATTAGCTTATTGACTCTTTAGAAATTAAATCTATATCCCAAGCTAACTCTGTATTTTTTAACATCTAAATATTGGAGGTTTGCCTCAAGCACCAGAAGGAGCCAATCTTTATTTTAGGAGTTTAAAAGAGTCACTCACAAATATTGAAGTTTACCATTTACCTAAATGGATCATATATTTCAGTTGCTTAAAAGTACTACACTTAGTAAATAATTATCAGAATTTATAAATGACTCTTAAAGAAAATGAGTTGTAAATGAGGGAAACAGGGTTAGTAATAATAGACAAAAACAGTGACTACAAACACATTCATAGAAAAAACCACAAGCATAGTAATCTTGTTTATAGATAGTTAAGAGTCATTCTTATTTGAAAAACACAAAACTACAGGTGAAAACTCTTCCATAAGGCCATGTTTTTTTAAAGTGGATAAAGAAATGGGCATCATAGTCTCATTCTCCATGTCACCACCCATGCCTTATGTTTTCCCAAGAGGTAACAACGGGTAATTGTCTTACATGCATTCTCCTCAATTTTTCTAAAAAATACTACTGAACTCCTATTTCCCTACTTACTTATACAACTGTCTATCATAGCACTCACACATGAAAATATACATTCTGCTCTTTAAAAAGAAAGATGGAGTGGGGCTTATGTACTGGTTTACAACTTTTTACTTGAAACCTATCTATCCTATATATTTTAAAGGATGACTAATATTAAATAGCATAATACTGAACAGCATGAATGAAGATAATAGTCATACTGACAAATCACATAAACTATCCGGTAAAAGAAACTAAAAGTAAAAGAGAGTACACTGCAGAATTCCATTCATATGAACTTCAAAAGGGAAAATTAAACTATCAGAACAGAAATCAGAACACAAAAATGTCTATGGAAGTGATGATCAGATCAGGATTGACTGTGAGGGGATCACAAAGAACCTTTCTAATATTGGGTCTAGAAAACTTTGAAATTATTTCTTGTTCTAAGAAACAATAAAACAATGAATCAACAGACCATTTATTATCTTCACTTCTTTTTCTTTAATTGCAAATACTGACTCTCAAAATACTAAGTTATTATCATCCACAATTGGAAATATTAGAGGACACCAGGTCCTGAGAGGTCAATGACATAACTAAAATCCCACAAGTAATTAGGTAAAAGTCATAGGTAGGCTTCAAGCTTTCCCAATCACACATCACAACTATTTTTCCTTTACCTTTTAACATTGAAATTTCTAGAATGTGTTACAAATTTTATCTTAAGTTCTCAGATGTTCTCCCTAATCAAAAGAAGTAGAAAAAATAAAAACAAATCTACACTTAAAACTTTAGGCTCCTAAAAGAAAGAATACCTATAAATTAGGAATTTGAAATTACTCCATAAAATTTTCCATGTGAAATGAAATTGAACATTAGCAGCTTATAATACAAATGACATAATGAATTATAAAGAAGCAGATAAAGAAAAATAATTAGAAAAGTCTTGATTTGTCACATTGCCTATGTTTTCTTGGTAGATTTGTTGATGGATTTTTAATACATTCTATGTGTTTTCTAGAAATTCACATATTCTATGACCTGCTTTTATAATAAAAAGATACATGAAATATTAAATTTTTATAAATGAAATAGGAGTAGCTACAAAAAGATGGAAACATCCTAAATGTTCTACCAATATTAGGACTAAGTAATTGCACCTTTATTCTATGGAATAAGTTACATATATCCATATATGTACACTTTATATACACTATATATTCATATATACACACCTTTATGTTAGAGCAACAAATATAACATGGTAGCAAGTGAAGTGAAAGAATCAAGTTCTAGAATATGCACATAATATGAAATTCACATTCAACACAAACCTAATACACGTTAATGTCTGTATATACACAGAGAAAGGTGGGCAAAGGTGAAAGGAAATTAACTTTTAAAAGTTTTTGCATATCCACGAACATTAAAATATGTATAAATTTATTTAACAAAAAATTTAAAAGGTAAAAATCAAAGTAAATCTCTAAGCTTTTAGAAGTAACATATTATGAAAGAATAACCAAAAATTAAAAATAGGCAATTCCCTTAGAGATCAGTCAGGGAAATATACTACTATCTTATTATAAATCCTTTGAATTATTTACTCTTAAAAATATATATTTAAGATATATTTATTAGTACTGTTAGCATTGGTAAAATGAGAAATACTAAAGAAAATAATAAATGCTCATTTTTAAAGATAATTATTTATACTGAGTATTTCTGACATTTGTACTAAAACTGTTGATACTTACTTTTCCAGACCATAATACTCAAACTGCTTATGACACAGCTTATTCTGCAATGTTGAGGGGCCCAGAAGATGAGGATAAAGTAGAATTTAGTCCTCCAAAATCATTGTTAAGAATGTAGGTTCTGACTGGGGATATGTACATAGGTGGGGGCAAAGAAGAGGGAGAAGGGGGGTGAACATGATCAAAGTAGTTTGTACAGTTATAAAAACAGAGTAATGAAACCCGGTAACAATTATTTTTTCAAGGGGAGGAGTAAGAAAGAATAACACAAGAGGTGAATTTAGTCAAAGTACACTACACATATATAGAAATATAATAAAACCCCTTTGTACAACTAATATATACTAAGAAAAATGTAAAAAAGAAAAATACAGGCAATTTTATAGGCTGGACATAATAAGACATGATAATCACTACTAACTGTAGCTAGAAACAGATCTTTCTAATCTATCTGCTGCTCTCTACTTCAGTAAATGTTATGACGTTCCACGGTAAAACCATTAGTTTCATACTTAAACATCACGAAGATTTTAGAAATTCCACTGAATTTATGAACAAATGAACATTTGTAGACCTTTCATTAAAGCAAAATCCAGAAGAACTATTTCTCAGACCTTAGATGATGCCTCCATGATACATTGAGCCAACGTTAGTAGACAAGAAACAGTAGTCCTTTGAAGCCAATGGCAGTAAATGCCATTGTGGTTTACCATGTGCATGTGGGATGCACAATATATTAGACCACAGTTACTTAAATTAAACCAGTCTTTGCATTATGAAAATGTATCCTATCCCCCTTTGGCTGATCCCCTCCAGACTGTTCACTTTTACATAATTATTTTTCTTATTATCATTTTAGGTCTAGATTTTGCACATAAATGAAACATGCAATAATTGACTTTTTTCATGATGATTCATTTTCCTGGGGGTTCCATCCATTTTATTTGGGGGTGTAGAAGATCAAAGTTCTATACATATATACATATGCATACATATCTATATATGTATTTAGATATATATGAAGATAGCACAATGAAATCCAGCAAACACTGCTCCAAAAGGGGGTAGAAGATGGAGGAGCCAAAGGAATATAACAGAGGGGTTGAATTTGTCCAAAGTACACTGTGCACATTTATAGAATTATCATGAAGAAACCCCCTTGTGTTATTAATACATGCTAATAAAAACAAAACAAACAAAAAAAGAAAAAGAAAATGTGTCCTAAACTACTTATTTAGAGATCACACAACTGCTTTTAAACTTTAAGATCTCCACATATAGTAAACACTATTGTGTTTCATCTTGGGATTTTTGTTGTTGTTGTACTGAGGTTTAAACTCAGGACCTTGTGTTTGCTAGGCAGGCACTTTACCACCTGAACCATGCCTCCAGCCCTTATTGCTTCAGTTCTTTTTGAGATAGGATATCTCTTTATGCCAAGACCAGTCTGGAACACAATCATCCTATTTACACTTTCTGTGTACCTGGAATGACAGATGTGCACCACCACACCCAGCTTTTATTGGTTGAGATTGGGTCTCTCAGACATTTTTTGCCCAGGGCAAAAATGTGATCCTCCTGATCTCTGCCCCCAAAGAAGGTAGGAATGTTTGAACTATTATTGATGAAATCAGTAAGTGGTTAGCAATTGTTTTGTACTATAGCAAAACGGACTACTTTATTTCTGTATCACCCTATGTTTTGCTCTTCTTATTTTTTTCTTGGCAGTGCTAGGGATCAAACCCAGGACATCCTATATACCAAGCACATACTCTACCACTGAACTGTATTCCCAGTCTCAATGTATGTGGTTTTAATAACTTTACTTTATGAAGTATTTAGAATAAACATTGCATGTACTGATCTAAAGGATAAACAAATTCCACAATAAATATTTTGCACAGTAGTATTTCCTTGTACATAAATTATATTGAGAGTATTTCAGATTCTTTTGTTTACTGGAGATATAATATACTAATTTAAGAGGAATATATTTGTAATAGTTCAGATTATACATGTTGAAACTTGTAAGAAATCTTTTATATTCTATGTATAATATACAGTCTACTGAATTATTAATTAAAACAGAAACTAGCCTCTGAAAAATTTTAGGCTTAAAATACAAGACACTGTTTAAAAAATTCTTCGTTCTTAACTTATGATTCTGCATAATCTGAGTAGATTAATTTCTACACTATGCATGCAGAAAGAAAACACTGTTTAGATTTTACTACTTTCATATTATTAATATATTTAAGATATGTATTTATATGTAAACCTTGGTGATAAAAATCAAATTATCATAATCACAAAATGAATTTCTAGAATATAAATATGAAAACAGAATTTCATTAAAAAGAAATGTTTATTAAATATCTTAACAGGTATTTTTAGTATGACAGTATATTATATAATTTCTTACCTGCTGCCAGCTGCTACAGTACTTCTATAATCCCTGGTCTACAAAGTAGGTGCTCAGTTCCAACTGAAGTAGATGGGGAAATAAAATGGTTTGGGGCTAGGATTGCTGAACCTGGTGCTTCTAGCAAATTATTAAATTTTCCTGCCTCTATAACAATAATGGACTAACTAACAACCCACAACAGAGTGGTTGTAAGCATGCTTGTAGAAGTCTACTGTTTTTGAGATGGACTGGAAAAATATGGTATGTTCTAGATATCACATTTTTTCTCTAGCAATTTCTTTTTTAAAATTTTTTTTCATTATTATATTTGAATCAAGGATTGTTTTCTTGGTTATTGCTAATTATTCTGAGGTATGCCTCCACAAGCATTCTGTTTTCTACATTTAATTTAATCTTAAAAGATTTAAAGAACTCCCCAATCTGACCTTATCTTGAGAGACTTGTGGCAAAATGAAATTAAGTAACTGTAAAATGAATACAGTTTGAAAGTTTTACTAGTGCTAGTACATTAAACAGATGCTTAATTGTATGAAAAATTGAGACTCAATCTAATTTCATTAGGTGTCTTATTTTTATTTAAATGTTTAAGAACATTTTTACCAAAACAAATTACAAAGGCTTCATTAATTATCTAAATGTTTGGTTAAGATTTATGCTGACAATCTTTACCTCATCATTGAACTTTGAAATAATGATTACTTTTGTATGTGAAATTAACAAATTCTGTAGCTAATATCACTGCAGTACTTTACTCTTGTAATAATAAGTATTTCTACTTTAACTCACTGACAGAATTTTAATACATAAAACCAATGAGGAAATGTTCATTCTTGGTTAGATTTAGAATGCTCACTTACCTATGATTAAAAGTGAATGCTGAGACATCTAACAATAAATCCAAGTGACATGCCTCATTTACACAAGTGATATTAGGCTATCAGGTATCATGATAATGATTTTTCACAAACAAATTCAAGAATGCCAGAAATTATACTAAAGTGACTACTCTGCTATTCAACCTTCTAAAGGCCTAGGTACAAGCTGAAGCTGAAGAACTGGTTTTAGATGAATATCCAGACTGAATCTGTACTTCTACATATCCCTAATGAAACAATTACATTAAAAGTTCACAGTAAAGCCAGGAGCAGTGGCACATGCCTCAGTCCCAGTTATTCAGGAGGCTAAAGTAGAAAGATCACTGGAAACCAGTTGTTCAAGTTTAGCCTGGGCAACAACAAGGCTCCATCTCAAAAAATAAAAGTAACAGTAAAAATAGCGAAAATCTTCATTAATAGAATAGTCATGGCACTCCAGACATTCTATATTATTTCACTTACTTCTCGCTATGGGTCTATAAAGCGGGTAACTACAGGAGTTCCCCTTTACACAGCAAGTATTAAAGAAATAGAAAAACTTGCCTAAATCACATGATTGACAAATGACAGGGCCAAGGTTCAAATCTGGACACTGAAGACACTTCTCATGACTGGAACCTAATTTTCAGTAAACAATGCAAGTCTTAAATAAAAGTCAAGATAACTAAAATCAGTCTCAATTATGTAAGTCAGAATTTTGGTGGCAATAGAGTCCTAAAACTTCCTGAGGTAGGAAGGCAAACTTTTGACCCCTCAAAAAATAAAAGAGTTCTGGAAGGCTGCATTGTATAGGTCCCTGATATATGCAGGAAACCTAAGATCTTAAAATTATGCCCTATACTATACCAGATAACTGCAGGGATCTGGTGATGGATTAAACTTTAAAAAAATTTAGTCAAACCCTTTCACATGAAGAGTTTTAAAAGCGTTAAATAAAATTCTTGCACAGCTGTTTACTTGTTTTTACAGATAATGGCAAAAAAATTACAAAAACAAAATTTCTATACACTCAATTAAAAATTAAAATACAGTCCTTCTAATGAGTAATGAATACTTACTTAAATGCAGAAAATCTAACAAATGAGTTACTACAGAAATATGGGAAACGGGTAAAATGAACTCTGATAATGGAATTGGCAGATGTGTGTTCTGCAAAGATTATAAAGAATTCCCTGAATAACTACATACTATGCCAAGACAAAAGTCAAGGCATATTGGCATTATGACTGTTAGACATAGAAACTGGTAAGCAGGAGTAAACTTTCTAAACCATAAGTAAAGCTGCATCATTCCTTTGATTAAAACCCTCCAAAAACCCACTGTAATTAAAGTAAAATCTAAACTTCTTACTGAGACTTGCAAGGTTCTAGAATACAGCTACTGCCAAATACTCTGACCTCATTTCCCTCCACAAACTCTCTTTTTTTCTCTCCAGGACTCTCCAGGAGAAGTGGCCTTCTTTCTGTCCCTCCTTTAGGTTAAGGTGATCATCATAAAAGGTCCTTTATCCCAAATTTCTCTTAGCTTGACCATTCTTCCTCTATACCTTTGCCCTACATGAGAACAAGGAGATATCTGTTCTGTTCACATCACCACACCCAGCACTACCCCTACTATATAGGAAATATACAGCAGTATTTAGATACTCATAGATTGAACAAATGTATAAATGTCTATCCCTGTCCTCATTTCTATGGCAGACAGATCATATAAATGTGATCCTTAGATCACCCTTCAATAAAGAATACACTAGCCAGTTGCAAGGAATTTGACTGACAGCCTACTGCTGTCAGGTTCTATAGTTTGCCTCCATTTTCTAGTCAAAGGAATACTCCCTTGTAGAAGTCCACAGTCAAAGTCTTAGTGATGATGACTGAAGGACCTAACCATTATCACCAAGGCAGGACTCCTCCAAACCAGCTGCACAAGGTGACCACTCTTTTATCTAATGCTGCTCCTAATCTTTTCTTTTCGCAGGTTTTACTCCCTAATTAGGGTGCAATCTAACTCCATCTCAGTGTCTGCTTCTTGAAGAACCCAGACAGCTTCTATTTCAAAAATCAGCACTTGTACCTACAAATAAAAATGGCTATTTTAACAGTACATAGAAGATTCATTTTGCATCAAGTATCTGTGATGAAAAAGCTATTACCACACTCATCCCCCACTATGTCAGCAGTCTGTCTGTCTCTCTCTTTCTCACACGTACAAACACACACACACACACACACACACACACACACAAATGTCAATTCTTCTATGAAACCTTGAAATACAATCATCTGCTCTTTTCTTGTGGCTTCCTTTTGAACATCTAGCAATACTTACCACACTATTATAAGTATGTGTTTATATGTCAGTTTCCCTATCAAAGATACAGCTCAGTAAGTCTGTTTCTGCTTCACATTAATAACTCAATTGTCTTACAACGTACCTGGTATGAATAAGATTCCCTAAAAATCTATTGATGAAGAAAAGAAAAAAACTAACATAAAAATGAAGTTTAAATGCTAAACTCCTTTGTGTAGCAGCCTACCATGCTTCTTAATTGTGCCCTAACAAATCTTTGCATTCTTCCCAAAAAAAGTGAATTAACTAAACTTTAAAAACATTATTTTTACACATAATTTATATGTATTTTATCTGTGAGGATGAATAATTCTGACCAATTAATTTAAGCCCCAAACATTCACATGCTCTGAAAAGGAAGTAACTTTATTCTTCTTGGGGAATAAAATTCAATTTTTTTCAAGAGGTAGCTAATAGTGCTAAAACTGAAAGCTACTAGATTTATTCATTTTCAACTTTTTAGAACACTTCATCAAAAAATAACACATTAGTTACCAAGGAAAAATGAAGCACTGGTTTTTACAACTCATTACATTTCTTTTCAACGTCATACAATCTGTCCTGTCTCAATTACACACTCCTGGGACAAAAATCAGGCCAAACATTCCTAGTACATAAGCATAAAATAAAACTAATCCATGAAAGACATACACTCAGAAAGAATGAAGTATCTACCACAAAATCACTTTATTCGTTATAAATTTTTAATTTGGAGAATTATTTTACACCAGGTTAAGCCACACTGTTTTTTTTTTAATTCAGTGAGTTAAAATGAAGTAAGTAGTGTAACTCCTCCACCCAGTAATCATAGAATAGGTGAACAATTTTTAAATCTAAGTATTTAAAAGGAAGGCTAAGCCTCCCATAGGAAATAAAAGTGGAAATGAGTCCAAGGGAGAAAATGGCTTGGTTCCACACCCTTAAAATTGCCTACAGCAATGCATCAAAAAATAAAATAAAATAAGCCCCCTGAGTCTGGGTCAGCAGCATAGTGTTACAACTTAAGCATTGGGTCATCAGTGGCAATGGAAGGCTGATTAAGGGTTGAGGTAATATATTTACCTACTGCAGTAAGGAACTGTGTAACAGTATCGCCAATAGTACAAAGAGTTCTTATGTAGATACCATGTACAAAGAAATAGTATAACCATCCAGTTATATTTTAATACTGAAATATGAAACATGCCAGAATAAGAATTTAAGAAATAAATACCAAAAAACAGTATTATAAATACTAATATCTCAACTTGTTCCAAAAAATAAAACTGAAATTTATTTAGCAATGTACTAATTATATTTTCTAACAAAACACCTCATTTTTACTACTCAGTATTAAAATCTGATCCTAACTAATATTCGTCTAATCTAAGGAATTAAAAATAAAAATGCAACACTGATATGGAAAAGAACAAGTTTTCAAGTAATTAAACTACTCTAATATAAATAACAAAACCTTTTAAACTTAAGACATTGATAGGCTGAAGATAACATTGATTTTTCTTCACATTTAAAAGGCAGCTCCAATTAGTACAATGAACGTGTATGAATCATGTTATGGATATGATAATTCAAAGTTCTTGTAAAACCTTTTTTTGAAATTAATCAGGAAAAAAAAAGAGCTTTATTATTTGTGTTACCAGTGCCTCACACTGAGACCAGCATACAACAGTGGCCATATACATTTGTTAAATGCAAAAAAAAATGAATACGAGGGTCAAGGATCAGGTTTTCTATAAGGATAAAAAATTTCTTTTAAATAGAGAAAATTTAATCAGTACCAATTGTCTTAGCTTGTATAATCCACTATACATATACTTTTTTGGGCAAGTCTGATAT